TGAGTTACTATTCCTGTAGTTGTCCCCAGCTGGTCTCTATGAGAAGTGTCCTGAGGCGAGATGGTTTTTCCATGCATCCCTTCTGCACCCTTTCTCTTCTACATTGCCTATTGCTTGCACTCCCTCTGTGGCATTTTCCCACTGTATATTGTATGATTGTGTATGTGTGTGTGAAGCTGGGCATGAATCTTGATTGGATGCTTTGATTTATTCTGCCTCTGAAGAGCTGCATCCCAACTGGCTCAGTTGTGTGGGGTTGGGCCACACACCAAGACCTTCATGTCCCCCTCCCCGCAGTGGTAACTGAGACCTGATGGATACTGCAGTGGACCAGTGTTGTCCAGTCTGGCAATGGTAGGCAGTAAACCTGGGTCCTTTCTGGGGTATGGTGGGCTGGGGGGGACTTTCTTCTTGGCAAACCTTGCCACAAGGTAATTGCAGTGCCGATATAATCCCTGCTGGGAAATGTTTCCTGAGATATCTGAGCTCCGGGTCAACAACACCCACACTGTAGCTATTAAAAAGGAACCTTTGCCCAGAGCTCTTCTTGAAATACTTTGCAGAAGGATGAGGTAGAGATCATTAGGGCTGCAGTTGGGGTCTGCTCCTTTTCCCTCCTCCCTTTGCAAGTTGATCACTGGCCACAGCTGTGGTGCATGTTCAAAGTCAGGTTTAAAGGCTCTGTCTGCTCTCAGGTTGCAAAAGACAAGGGCCTGGACATCTGGGAATGGAGAGAAGAACTTGTTAAAATAACTGTGTGTATCCCAGAAAGAATGCCTCCCTCTTCAGAATCATTAGTGGACCATAATGTGCTTTGGAGATGGAGAATGGTAGCTCCGGTGAGATATGAGCTTGGGGCACATCCTTGGCACAGAGCTGAGGGGCTGTGGGCAAGGTGTTGAAGGTTACGTGGGTGAAACTTTCTGTGAGTTTGAGACCTCAGTCAGTACTTGAATTCTATATAAACACTCTGGTTAGATAAACACGTGCATGCAAAACCTCTCAGCGAGGTGTTGTTGGAGGGAAGTGAATGTAGAGGGAGAGCAGCTCTGGCGAGGGCAATGCGGTCCTTGGCACTGTGCAAGCTCCCTGTGATGCCACGGTGCTTGCAGCCTGCTGAATCCTGTCCTGTAGCCCACATATGCTTTGGGGCTCTCCAGAAGGATCGAGGTGTGTTTTCAATGTCAGACAGCTGCCTTTCTTTGCATGACGCTTTTCTCCTTGCAGCTCAGGGAGCAGCAGATCCTTTGTAAGCTTGTCTGTTTCTTTACTGTGTTGGTGGAGGTGCCTAAAGGTCTCAAATCAGATTCTGAAAGCTTACAGTATTGGAAATTGGTAGCGGTTCTGAAAATGTTGGCGAGACTGAGTGGCTCGATACAGACGTTAGCTGATGGCCATTTGGATATGCTTTCACCTCAGCCAAGTCCTCGCCCCATTGAAGCTGATGGGAATTTTCCTTGAAAAAAGCCATAATAAAATTGCATTTTCTTGCCATGGGGGAGGTGTTTCATGTGTTCAGGAGAACTCCAGCTATCTGCTTTGATTCTTGCTACACTTGTCACACCCTGCACAAAGCGCTCTACCTTTTGATCCAAAATAGCACAGAAGATGTTTTCCACATGCCATAGGAAAATGGAAGAACTATAAAACATAATTGTTTTGGAGTTTGGCACTGCTCTGTTCACAGATATATTTAGTGTGAATTGAAATTGGTCAGCAAAAAGGCGTTTGCTGGGATGACAAATGGATTAAGATTGTGTATCTGACTCGATTGCGTACCTGCCCATCCCATGCTGGTGGGGTTGGTAGGGGGCTGAATTGATCTATAGTAATAAGCATGTATGGACATCTCTTTTCTCTTGAGCAGCGTTACAAAGTATTATTTGGCTGTAAATGGTACTATTTGGCTCTCTGTTCTTCCAACGTCAATACTCAGTGTTTCTGCTCCTGCCATTGCTGCCTGGTCCCTTTTAGCTCTTCAAAATGAGACCCACCAAACCTGTAACTCTTCCATGAAGGGAAGCTGGGACTGATCTTCTCCATTTTGACCCCTTTCCTAGTTGCTGGAGTAGGGGGAAGCCATGATTGATGACTTGAATGAATGTGAGCAAGAGGACAGGAAAAACAGGTCCTTCTTGACCTCAAGCCATCTCTGGTAGTCCCAAGTCAGTCAGAACTGCTAAGGAGCAGCATGGGCTTTGGGAGATGGAAAAGCTGTGTTGGGGATCTGGACTCAGCCCTAAGTGGATCAGCTCAGCAGCAGGGAGGAAATCTTGCAGTTGATAGCAGCTGGACCTCTTTGGCCTTCACTCTGGGTTTGTTCCTGTGGCGGGTGCCCAAGGAGTCAAGACTGACCTCTCCCGTCCCTGAGTGTGTTTGTGCATATGGGCTTGCACGCTCTGCTCTCACCAGGGGTTTTCTTTGGGCTGATATTTGTTAGCATTGGAAAGTGAGAAAAATGAGTGAAAATATTATCAGAAGCGGGTTTTGTGAATGAATCAGCCGACAAGAGGCTTACCAGCTTGCCTTGATTTACTAGAGTGGTGCTTATTTGGGCAGATGTCTATATATTTTAGTTGGAGGCAGAAGAAGCAAGAATTGATTGGGAAGGTCGTTGCATTCATCACACTGCTTCTCTGTCACTCTGTGACAGAAGACTGCTGGTCTTCTGAATGGAGCTGGGCATCACATGGCATCCAAAATACAGCCTTGCTACACTCACTCTCCTCATGTTGTTGATGGTTTCATGATGTCACTGAGAAGACAACAAAAAAGTCAAAAGGCTAAAGCCCTCCTAAAGTGGCTCATTGGGATTCAGCTTCTGGCTAGCCTTGCTCATCTTCTGCATGCGACTTTTTCATTTGATCCTGTCTGAAGGGCAGCCTTGTGGCCTTCTCTCTTCTCATTGTGTGTTTCTAATTAACGGGGAGTCTTGTGGATAAATAGAAGATTCCTGCTCCAAAGTATTCCTTGCCCAGCTCCTCGGATGATAGCCAAGGCAGCAACTGCCAGGCAGCAGCCCAGACATTGAGCTCGCCCATCTGGCTATCAAGCCTCATCCAAATTCTTGTCTGGAACCAGTATTGAGGAAAGTTACGCGCTTTGCCAGATTGGTTTTGCCCCGTGTTTGCTTTTCAGTTGCTACCTAAGCAGCTTAAAAACTTGCAAACAAAACTCATTTAGTATTTCTGGGAAGTGTGCTGATCCCAGTACAGAGAGATTTGGGGCCAAAATCAAGAGCAAGTTCAAGAGGATATTGGACAGATCCACAAAGGATGGGGTCCTTTGGTGGCTTTTAAATCTTGTCAAGCAGATGCAATTTCCAGCACAGATGTGATGTTGCTGCTTGTCTCTAGCACAAGTTGGGAATGGTCCTTCTGAGGTACATCCCCAAACAGATGCTGATGGGAATGGGATGCTGGGATGTGTCTGATCCAGCCCTCTTGGACTGCTCTGCTGTCAGTCTACAGATAGCCACATGTTTTCTGAGTAATTGTGGACAAAACTCTTCTTGCATTTTCCCCTCTGGGAACCTAGGGTAGTAATACACTATGGTGCACTGTGGACAAGAGCTCAGGAAGCTGTGACATAAATAAAACATTTGTTATTATCATGTTTTTACTCTGTATCAAGACAGTACAGTGATGTTTTATCAGGACATAACAGTGCAGCTTCTAAAAGGAAGGTTGGTTATTAGGAAAAACTTCTCTGAAAGAGTGGTTGGGCAATGGAATGGGCTGCCAGGAGGTGATACTGTCCCCCAGTGTCCCTGGAGGTGTTCAAAGAAAGTGGAGATGTGGCACTGAGGGATGTGGATTAGTGGGCAGTGTTAGTGGTAGGTGGACAGTTGGAGTGGGTGATCTTAGAGGTCTTTTCCAATTTTAATGAGTCTTCAGTGCTTCTAGATGTGAAAATCAAGATGCTCTGCATGCTTAGACTTAGAGAAAGCAGGATGGACTCATAAATGAAGTGCTATTATGTGAACTAAAGCATTGCGAGTCCTTTTTCGTTCATGGTTTAATGTGATTTCTTATTATGAGTATCTAGGGTGCAGGTTGGAGTAGATGATCTTTGTGTGGTCTTTTCCAACCGTTATGATTCTATAATAAAGCTGAGATCAGAAATGCCAGTTCCATTCTGGACTGTGTTTGTTTGTGAATGTGAGCCTGAGTGCTCTGATTTTCCTTGGTATGCAAAGATGCTTTGTGTTTGTCAGCTCTGTAGGACCAGAAGGATAGAACAGAGGGTGGAGGAGATGAGAAGAGCCCAGTGTTATCCCAGCATTTTTGCCAGCCGGTTTTGAAGTGGCTGGATTAGGTAGGGGTCTAGTGGCAGAGCTGGTGTGCCACATAGGGTGGTTCTGCAGTTAGAAGAAGTGCTCAAATCCAGCAGTAGATAGGCTGTGTGCTAGCAGCTGAATGAGTAATGTACCACATGACAAATGATGTGAAAGATGATATGGCAGGGATGATTACTGAAATGGCAGGATCTCTGCGGGAAATTAGGGTGGCCATAAAAGAGAGGCGAGGTATTTTTGAAAGCGGTCCTGAGAATTTATTTTAGCACATTAATATTGAGTAAGTATTCCTGGAGATACTCTAGGGGATGATAGATGGACTCAAGGTATTGTTACTAATCACTGTGGTTTTCAGTTTTGGAGCAGAAACACACTTGGCATCGTTAACCCAACTGGACTTCTGATGGGAAAATTACATTCTTCGGGAAGTAATTTAGAAGGTCAAAGAAAAATCAAAACGAATTTCTCCAGCAGCGATTTCCCCTGCTCTCTAAACTGTCTTTTAGTGCAGTAATAATAACTCCAGAATGAAAGAATCTATTCTCACCTTCCAGATGAAAGAGCTAATGCAATTTAAAATTTTTGCATGCAAAGATTTTATGGCTTGGTAACTGGCCACGCTTGAAAGCAATCCAGGATGGGATGAACACATGAGAGGCCTGGCTGAGCTTGACCCTTTCCTTGTCTCTTCTCTCTCCTACAGACAATGGTGATGACCGGTCTGAGAGCATCCTTGCTGAGAACCATGTGGACAGCACTGGGGGGATGTTGAGTGGAGCCAGCAGCAGGAAACCCATTAAAACAGGCATGAAGGAGCTGGCGGTGATGAGGGAGAAGGTGAACGAGCAGCAGCGGCAGATGGGCAAAGTGGGCAAGGTCCATCACAACCATGAGGATTCAAAGAAGTCGCGGATGCCGACAGGCAGGGTGAGAGGAGGAGGGGGGGGTGGCAGAGCTCAAGGATATGCAGAATGCAAAAGTGACATTTACAACAAACTGCCTTTAAAAGAGAAAAGAGGGGAGGGGAAAAAAAAAGAAAAAGAAAAAGAAAAGCAAACGTTTATTTTGGCCTGAAGCTGAGGTTGAACGCACCATCTGATGAACTTTGATGTGCTGGCGAGGAGGCGTTATTTTCATTGCAGCTTCACATTCTGACAGCAGAGCTGGAGAAGGGCGGTCTTGCTGGCTCAGCACCAGCCCCCGCAGGCTGTGAGCACGCCCCTTGCCTGCAACCCAGCTTTTGCACACCCTTTTTTCCCTAAGCAACTCCCCAGGGATGGTGTGCGGGATTTATGGTGTGGAACTCTGCCTGCTGGAGGATAGCCTCAATGCAGACTGAGGGTGAGCCTGAGAATAGGCTATATGGAGTTGTCAAGAAGCAGGACGGTGCCCAGTGTCCTATCTGGCCTGCTGCCCTCCTGTCCTTGGCCATGGTTTCCCTCTAGTGGGCAGCTTGGTCAAGGCAACTAGATGGCATGGGGATGGAAAGCCACCTCCAAAATTTTTGTAATATTTCTCTATCAACACGGGGTATTTATATCTGAGGAGCACAAGGACGGAGAGGAACTTGGAGAACCTCACCTCCAAGGAACAGGCAGAGCGGCTGTATGTGGTCTCATCTCCCTAACATACACTTCATGTGCTGTCCCAGATAAACCTTGCAACTGCAGTCCTTTAGGTCAAATTTAGCCTAACAGGCTGATGTCTGTGGGACAGATGTGGCTTTGTGGCATGGTGCTGGCACCATTGGCTTAGAAGAGTCCCCACAGTGCTGCTGCTTGTCTAGGAGAAAAACAGCAGATGCAGAAGGCAATGAGCTGCAGAGTTGCTCTGGCTAACACCAGGTGGACTTTAACTGGACTGTCTTGGCTCGGTACTAGCCTTTGGAGTTAGGTATTAGTTTGCTCTTTACCATGTGAAGATTTGAAGTTATGACATGGCAAATGGTCCCTTTACCAGGATGTACATTTGTTGTTTGTTTTCTTGGCTTTTTTCAGACCCCTTGTCAGCAGGAGCTGGATCAGGTCCTGGAGCGCATCTCTACCATGCGACTGCCGGATGAGCGAGGTCCCCTGGAGCACCTCTACTCCCTCCACATCCCCAACTGTGACAAGCATGGCTTGTACAATCTCAAGCAGGCAAGTAGGAAGAGCAGGAGCCCTAGAGCCAGCTTGCATTCTTGGCAACATTGCTATGCTCAGCACTGCACAGAGATTATGCCCAACTCCTAGGGTGGCAGGAAGCAGGTCCCAGGGTGTGGGGACTGCCTGTCTGCTGTCCAGACCCAAAACATGGGGCAGTTGCATTTCTCATCAAATTGTCATCACTAATAGGATGAGAGCTGAGTTTCCGCTTATCCTCAGTACCTCTGTAGTGTAGTAAGCCTTTGTTCCACCACAAATTAAATGATTGTATCATAGTGGTTTCCTAACAAGGGTTACAAGCGTTGCTGCACCACTGTCTCCTCCTTTCTCTTGCTTCTTCCTAGATTGAACGTCTGCAGCTTTGCAGGAGATATGCAGGAGGGCAAGCTGGGGGGCAGTATGGGTGTGGGTTGTGCACAGAGAGTGATGAGAGAGATGATTCTTCTGCTCAGGTTGGAAACAGGAGCTGAAGCTTTTCTGGCATGGGCCTCTCCCAGGAGAGGCTTTTACCTGTGCTTCCTTTCCTCTCTGTTTCATTCCCACACTTTCCCTGAACAGTTTTGCCCAGCAAAGCTTTGTAGCCAGACAAAATCAACCTTACCAAACGCAGGGCCTGGATCAGAGCTGGATGCATGATATCTGCAGTGAGAGGAATGGTCACAGGCTCTGGGGGCATCAGCAGATGTTGCAGTAGAATCTACAGCAATCTACAACAAAGCACCATCTGGGGGCTGGCTTGCATTGATAGTACCTGGATGTGAGCACCTCTCATAGCTGTGCAGAATGATCCCTTGGAGAAGAGCTAGACATCCTGCTGTTTTCATGGCTAAGTTTTTTTTTTTTTTTCAGAAAAAGAAAAAGCCAAAAATGTTAGAAGAGAGCAGATTGCTCTGAGATAATCTTGCTTTGTCCTTTCTCTTCTCTGCACCATGCAGAAGTTGCATGTTGGTCGTAGCTGCAGAAAAAGGAAACAAAAATGCTGTCTCTTCTGCCTGCCCTGGGTGAAGACAAACATGAGGCCATTCCCAGTTTTCAGTCCATCTGGGTTTCCAGAGTTGAGTGTCAGCTCCTTTTCCTTGGTTGGAAAATTGGAGATGCCAATAAAAGCATTCCTGGCTGCTCCGACCTCCTGTGAATCAGGACAAGGTGGAGGGTGCCTTAATGTGCTCTCATGCTGGGGAGCATTTTTTTAATTACTATTCTTATTTTTATCTTTTCTCCTGCTTTTTTCCCCCCCTGAGCAAGGCTGCATTCTAAGCTGCAGAAAATGGCTTGAATTCAGCTTTGCAGAATGCATACAGAATCTGCTGTAGGGGCTGGATCCTGCTGTGCCATGTTCAGGGGTGTATTTCTTTTGGGTATGGGGGGATGAGCACCAGGTAGGTACAAGGTGCCTACAGCCTTGCAAAGGCAAGGGGTGGATGATAGCCATTACAGCAAGAAACTTCTCTCTTACCAGAGCAGGCTTTAGAGTATAGAGGCCATGTCCATGCTTGCTGTGGTCACTGCTTCTGTGCTGGGATTGAGATCCTGTTCCCCAACATAGCAGAGTGTGTCCATGGCCCGTGTTGTCACGTTCAGTTTGTTTAACTCAATTTGCAGGCAGAATGAAGCTTATGCAGCTGCTCTGTAAGCATATTTCATCCCTACTCACCCAGGGATTGTTGAGTCTCTAGGTGCTTTCATCCACGGTTGAAAGAGAAATGTAATTTGGGGATGATTGTCCTCATGGTTTATTGAAATCAGCTCAGTGGTCCCATCTGTAGAATCTCTGATGTTGGAGAAGACCACTAAGATCATCTAGTCCAGCCATCCGTGGTTTGAGGGAAGAAGCAGTGATGATGCTACAGCACAGGCTCATCCAAACCATTTGTGCTGAATCTCCAGAGAAACTATGGGGGTGAGGGTGGTCTTCTCTCTGTATCTCCTCAGCTGATGTCTGCTCTATCCCTCTCTCTGCAGTGCAAGATGTCGGTGAATGGGCAGCGTGGAGAGTGCTGGTGTGTGGACCCCATCCATGGGAAGGTGATCCAGGGTGCACCCACCATCCGTGGGGACCCCGAGTGCCACCTCTTCTACACAGCCCATGAGCAGGAGGACCGGGGAGCACACGCCTTGCGGAGCCAGTAGATGGATGTAATCCTGCTTGCTGTGGCCCCGGTGCTGGATTTTTTACATGGGTTTCAGCATGTCTCTTTTAGGCTCTGGAAGAGACCGGGGTTGGGTCCTGTGTGCTGCCCTCCTGCTGCCCCAGTTCTTGGGGAGGGAAGAGATGACAGGAGGGGAAGGGTGGGGGGGGGGGGGGGAGGTTGCAAGGAGAAGGGACTGCTTTCCTATAGTCTTTTGCCCAATGTCAGCCAGAGAACCAGTCTTTTTTGCTCCTCGCCCCGTGGCCCTGCCCTCCCTGCTGCTTTGTGGCGTATTCTTGCAGGCAAAACATCTAACCATGGGTGGGAGGGGGAAAGAAAGAAAGAAAAAAAAAAAAAGAAACAACAAAGTTCCATTTCCCTCTTCCTCTCTCCCTTCCCCGAGACCAAAGACTGTAAATACTGCCTCTTGTGTCCTGCCTGTCCCCTGTGTATTGGCCCTGGAGTGGGATGCAGTGTGGGAAGGAGGGAAGTCCCTACATTCCAGTTGGAGTGTGGCAGGATGATGAGCTGCGTTCCTCAAGGGGGCACTGCTGGGAGATAAGGACGAGGCAGCCCCCTGAACCACCGCTGGTTGCAGCCAGCCCTGCTGCTCTGGGAGGATGGGGCCTTTGGGTGACTGTGGAGCTGAATGCTTGGTTTTCTGAGGGGTTTGGAGGGCTGCTGCCCGGTATTTCTTAGGATTGGCTTAAGCTGAGGGAGCAAAAGTGAACTTGCCGGGGCTGGGTGGAAGGATGCCTGTGTAGATTTAGGATAATAAGCCAGGGAGTGTCTCTCTTTCTTTCTTTCTAGAAAAACCCATCTAAAACCTGCACTCCCAGCAGCTGCTCTTGTCCCTCCATTTTCGCTTGGGACAGGAGTGAGTATCTGCTTTTCAGCACACACTTTTTTATTGTAAGTACAGTATGTATCATGCTTTGTAAAGGCCCAGACACACACGCACCCCTCTGCCCACATGCATGTTTGTATAGGTTAAATCCAAGCAATTGCAGGCGCTCTGAGATGTTTTGCACTGGACGTGCTGCTCTGAGGACTGATGTCTCTGCCATTACTTCACCTGTTGATTCTTTCTGTACAGAACACACCGACGCTGAGAATAAATAACTTCCCTGTCGCCGAAGCAAGGAGACTTGTTCTTCCTTCCCCCCCATTTTTAATGTGGGTTCCATTGCAAAACGATTGCAAACATTCTTATCCTTACTACAGTAAGGGGAGAAATATGGAGTTTTTTGTGGGACCTTGGGCAGGGCTGGGATGGGCCCACAGAGGGGTTGAAGGGTGCTGCCAGCATGCTCTCCTTGGGGTTGTGGGGCAAACACTGCTCACTTGGGCACTTGAGGCTGGGGAAAGAAAAGCAAAAAGCCCAAAACTCTGCGGCAGTGGGAATGCTGGGGTTTGTTACTGTTCCCTCCCCCCTTTCCTGGCCCGAAGTTTTCCAAGCGCAAAGATCTGTGCAGGTTGAACTCTTCATGTCCTTGCAGGAGTTTGGAAGTGTCAGTGGAGGAGAAAAGAAAATGCTTTGGGGCTGTGGTGGGAAAGTGAGAGAGAGGTGTGTGTATGTGAGAGAGAGAGAGAGAGAGAGAGAGGGAGAGGGAGAGGGAGTGAGAATGTTCCTGAATGCAGAACTGAGTAACTGTCAAAATGATGCTACCTGCTGTCTTCTGTTAACAGCACAGTGTTCAGCTTTTCCATGTAAACCCTGCACACTCTGGCTGTCAGCTGCAGTTTGTACTTTTTGTTTTGTTTAGGAACCAGGAAGTTTTCTTTTTGTGTTTTTTTTTTTTCTTTTCTCTTTGGGAGATGCTGAGCTGCGTAAAGTTGGAATAAATTAAATAGGATGCCAGGAAACTGTCATCTTCCCCCTCCCCAACCTTTTCTATTAAATAGAGCATGTTTTCTTGCCTGTTGCATCACACACAAACTTGGGCTTTTGCCCTGGGGGTGTTGTAAATGCTGAGCCCAATGAGCATCATTGGGAGTTTGGTTTTTACCCCTACTAGTCCCAGTTGTGTGAGCTGGGAAGCCCTGGTGTCACCCCATCCCCTCTCTTCCTGCTCTGCGGGTGTTTCTGCTGTTCTGCACAATGCAGCCATGCCTTTGAGTCTTGTCAAGTCAGCATCTGCCCGACACATGTGCAGAGGCAGTTTTGCTGCCTGATGGCAGACAGGTTTGGTGGAAAAAGGTGGTTTTTGGCACAATGTTGTTGCTGGGAGACGTGCTGTAGGAGTACCCTGTTCAAGCTGGGAGCAGTATGAGAGCTTTGCAGGGGTGCAGAGTTCCTCTGCTCAGCACTGGCACCCCTGGGACTTCAGCAATATTTGGGTGAAGGTCAGCTCCTCCCAGATTCCCAGCCCTCAGGATTTTGGGTGCTTTTCAAGTTGGTGCTTGCAGCCGGTCATGCTGTTTGTCAGCCAGCAGATGGACCTGTTCTCCAGGGATCATCCTGGGCCTTGCTGGTTTTGTCTCTGCTGCCTGTGCAAAGAGTTCTTGGACTGCAGAAGGAAAATCTCTGTGGCCAAAAGGAGCTTGGGATGCCATGGCAAAACAAAGAATAATGATAATAATTGCAAGCCATGCTTAACAGCTGAAATTGCAGTGCTGAAGGAAGAGGTTCTGCATGGCCGGGGCTAACCAGGGCCGTGGCATGGAATGTGCTGTGGCTGGGCCTGATGGGCATTGGGTGATGGTAACAAGGAAGCATAGCCCTGAACTGGCAGTGTGGAAAGTCACCTTTCAGTGCTGGCACGGCTGACAGTTCAGCAGCAGTGCTTTCCTGCCTGCCAGCACAAATGCCCTGGTGTTGGCTGATTTCCTTGGGCTGTGTGTCACTGAGGGGCAGTGGGATACAGGCCCCACAGTCTGCTCTGGCCCCAGGGTGAGGAGCCCATTGCAGATCAGGCAGCTGGGTCTGGTGGTGCAGATAGGGTAGAGGATGTATCTTAGCACAGCCCAGCCACCTGTCTGGGGATAAAGGGGATATTTTTTGTCTCCTGTGCTGCTCTGGGTACATGGAATGATGTTGGCAACTGACGCAGATGGTGGGGATGGGGGCATGGGACAAAGGAGTGTGTGGGAATATGAAAAGTTGTGTGAGCAGAAGGGGAGGACGTGGGTGGTGGGAAGGGGCGCTGAGGACTGTCATGAGGTTGCTGAAGACTACAGCCTGGCTGGGCTCGTATGCCCTGCAGGGATGGGATGGGGACATTCCTGCTCACTGAGATGTTTGGGTAGGACTTCCCACTGCCTGGAGAGCTTTGAGGCTCAGATACCACATACTAAAGTGTTGAGATTTGGGATAGCAGCTGGGTGCTCAGCATTATGGACTCCAGATCCTTGGAGGCATACAAGAAAATAGTAGATGTAGCACCAAGAGCCATGGTTTAGAGTGGTCACAGGCATGGGTTGATGGTTGGACTAGATGATCTTGGTGGTCTTTCCAACCTTAATGATTCTATGGCTCTACAATTCTCTTTCCCTTCATGACCCAGCAGAACATGGGTGCTCCAACCCCACCCCTGCAAATAAGCATCTAAAAAATTGCAGCTTAGCAGTCAGGATGCTCTAAGCTCAACCTTTCAAATTTACCTCTGTCTTAGCAGAGTTCTCTGGGGTCTAAAGCCTGCCTAAGCCATTGCCACCAGGTCACCTTGCCCTGTCGGACCCATAGAGCTAGCTGAGCCCCCAGGCACAGTGTGCTGATGGCAGGGCTGGCACACAGACACTCTACGAGGGTCAGGCACAAGCTAACTGAATGCATAACTTTATTAAATAAATGCTTTGTCATGAGAAAAGACAAAGATCAAAGAGTAACATAAATTATAAGTTGAATAAATAGTATACAGCAATCTTCACTTTTTAATAAAATGTGAGATTTTTTTTTTTAAGTACAAAATGCTAAACAGAGCATTAAGCTCTTCTTCCATTGTCAGTTTTTCACAAACTGCTTTTTTTTTTTTTCCCACCAGTAAGATTATGAGTATTCTTGTTTACTGGAAAAAAAAAAAAACAACAAACACAAAAACAAAACAAAACAAAAACAAAAACAAAACAAAAAAAAAAACAAAAAAAAAAACCAGAGCTACCGTATGTATGTAAAGCTATAAAAAGCTACCGTAAAATGTGTAGTGAGTATTGCTTAAAGGTTAAAAAAAAAAAAACAACAAAACAGGCAGGAAACTCGGAATCTGGTGTGTGAACGACTGTGGTACAACGGTGGGTGATGTGTGCGGTGACGTCTGTCCCGGTGGCAGTGGCGGGCGGGTGGTGGGGCTGGGGATGGGGCACGGTGAGCAGGGCTCCTCGCCAGGGCCAGGACAGCTGTCTGGAAGCGAGGTGAGCTGTCGGTTGTTAAATATACAATGCTCCGTTTTGGGAAAAACAAAGCAAAACAAAAATAAAAAATAAAAATAAAAAAAAGAAAACAAAAAACACCAACAAGAAAAAAAAAACAATTTTTTTTTTTTTTTTTTCATGGAGAAGGCAGAGAAAAAGAGAAGGGGGAAGAGAAAGAGAGCGGAGAAATAGTGCAAAATGCTCTTGTACTAGTGGTTTTCGAAGGCCACTGCAGTACAGACAAGGGGTAACCCAGCTGCTGAACATCTCTCATGGGAGATGTGGTCCAAGGACTGTCCTCACCCCTGCTCCAGCTGTTTTCTCACCATGCGGCCGCTGGCGTGCAAAATGGCCAGCAACTCCTTGTGCGCCTCTCTCACCGCAGCTCTCCCAGCTCCCAGATGTGTCTGTTCTGCTTATCCCACCACAAAATCCAAAGCAGGTCCCTCTGCCTCTCTGCTGGAAGTGGTGATGCTTTGTCACCAGCCAATGGATTCTGGTGCCTATGAGTCCACAGCTGGGACCCACTTTGTACTGGGAGGCTGGAGAGTCCTCCTGCATCCCCCTCCCAGTGTCACCATGGTGGCCATGCCATGAGGCCACCACCTGACTGCTCTGCACCCCCCCAGGAGGTGAGTTTACCTCAAAATACACGTTCCTTGTGGACCTGCTGACTCTCTGCCTGCTCCCATTCTGCCCACCCCTAGGCAGCACGACTCCTTTCTCTGCAGCCAAAGGCTTTCAAGTTTTGGGAAATCAAACAATAAAACAAACAAAAATAAACAAAAGCAAGAAGGAGAG